CATTTGACATATAATTATTTCAGTATATCAAAGGCATTTGACAAATACAGTATATCCACTCATGATAAAAACTCTGCCAACCAGGTCTGCCAAATAGGTCTATTATATGTCAACATAATAAAGGCTTTATATGAAAAACTCAGAGCCAGCTTCTGCTTAACTCAGGTCATGATCTCAGCATCCTGGGATCGAGCCCCACATTGGGCTCCCTACTCAGTGGGAAGTCTACTTCTCCCTCTGCCCCTCCCCACTGCTCGTGCTCTCTCTCGCTGTCTCTCAAATAAATAAAATAGAAAAAAAAAATCTCACAGCCAATATCATACTCAATGGTGAAAAACAGAGAGGTTTTCCCCTAAGTCAGGAACAAGACAAGAATGTCCACTCTCACCATTCTTCTTCAACATAGTACTGGAAGTACTAGCCAAAGCAGTTAGATAACATAAAGAAATAAAAGGCATCCAAGTTTGTAAGGAAGAAGTAAAACTCTCACTATTTGAAGATGACATGGTACTCTAAATAGAAAACCTGAAGACTCCACCAGAAATTTACTAGAACTGATAAATGAGTTCAGTAAAGTTGCAGGATACAAAAATCAATGTACAGAAATCTGTTGCATTCCTGTACACTAATAATGAAGCAGCAGAAGGTTAAGAAACCAGTCTCATTTACAATTACACCAAAGCCAATAAAATATCTAGGAGTAAACTTATAGAGGTGAAAGACTTGTACTCTGACAACTATAAAACACTGATGAAAGATATTCAAGACAATGCAAGAAATGGCAAGACATTCCACACTTATTAGTTGCAAGAACAAATACTGTTAAAAGGTCTATACTTCCCAAAGCAATCTACAGATTTAATGCAATCCCTGTGAAAACAACCACAGCATTTTTCACAGAACAAACAACCGTAAGATTTGTATGGAACCACAAAAGACCTCAAATATCCAAAGCAATCTTGAAAAAGAAAAATGAAACTGGAGGTATCACAATACCAGATTTCAAGTTATATTACAAAGTGGTAGTAATTAAAACAGTATGGTACTGGCATAAAAATGGAAGTAGAAATAAACCCAAAATTATATGGTCAACTAATATTTGATAAAGACTGAATATACAATGGAAAAAGTCTCTTCAACAAATGATGTGGGGAAAACTGGAAGCTATGTGCAAAAGAAAGAAACTGGACAACTTTCTTTCATCATACACAAAAATAAACTCAAAATGGATTAAAGACCCAAATGTGAGACCTGAAACCATAAGGATCCTTGAAGAGAGCACAGACAGTAATTTCTCTGACATTAGCCATAGAAATTTTTTTCTGGATATGTTTCCTGAAGCAAGAGAAATATAAAAGCACAAAGAAACTATTGGGAGTACATCAAAATAAAAAGCTTCTGCACAGCAAAGGAAACAATCAACAAAACTAAAAGGCATCCTGCTAAATGGAAGAAGATATTTGCAAATGACATATCCCAGTAAAAAGTTAGTATCCAAAATATATAAAGAATTGATACAACTCAACACCCAAAAACAAACAATTCAATTTAAAAATGGGCAGAAGACATGAACAGAAATTTTTCCAAAGAAGACACACAGATGGTCAATAGACACATGAAAAGATGCTCAACATTGCTCATCATCAGGGAAATGCAAATCAAAACTATAATGAGATATGACCTCACACCTGTCAGAATGGCTAAAACAAAACAAGAAACAAGTGTTGGTGAGGATGTGGAGAAAAAGGAACCTTTTTGCACTGTTGGTGGGAATGCAAACTGGTGTAACCACTGTGAAAAACAGTATGGAGGTTCCTTAAAAATTAAAAATAGAACTACCCTATGATCTAGTAATCACACAACTGGATATTTAGCCCCCCCCAAACCCCCCAAAAACAGTAATTCAAAGGGATACATGCACCTCTGTTTATTGCAGCATTATTTACAATATCCAAACTATGGACACAGCCCAAATGTCCATTAATAGATAAAAGGATAAAGAAGATGTGGTATATATACATATGCAATGTACTATTACTCAGTATAAAAAGAATGAAATCTTGCTATTTGCAACAACATAGATGGAGCTAGAGAGTATAATGCTAAGTGAAATAAGTCAGAGAAAGACAAATACTGTGATCTCATTATATGTGGAATTTAAGAAGCAAAACAAACAAGCAAAGGAAAAAAAAAGGACAAGCCAAGAATCAGACTTAACTATAGAGAACAAACTGATGGTTACCAGAGGGGAGGTGGGTGGGGGAATGGGTGAAATAGGTGATGGGGATTAAAGAGTACACTTTCCATGATGAAAAAAGAAAGAAAGGGAGGGAGCAAAGGAGGGAGGAAGGAAGGATGGAAGAAAATATATTAAACAGTTCCTGTTATGTAATAGCAACTTATATACTTGATATATCTGAATTGTAAAGACGTCATATATCTTTATATTTTGAATGTTACTTTTTATGTCTGCCTGCTTTCTTTTCTGCCTTTCTACATATCTTTTGACTTTATTTAAAAATAGTTTTTCATCTTTTTGTGCAAAATGCCATGCAGAAATATAAAGCTGATAAGTTAAATACCTGTAATAGAGGCACTTGCCAGTAGGAAGGTAAGGTATATAAAATAAAAGATAGAATACTGAAGAAGTGAGGCTACAAAAACTTCAGGATTCCAAGGAGATCCACTAGTTAGGTTCATCAAGCAAGACTTTTTAATGGAGATAACTGTCCTAGTTCTTATATATGTTCATTTATTTATGTTTTCATTCATTCATTAAAAATACTTTTGAGGACCTACTATATTCCAGGCATGTGTATAGACACTAAGAGTACAGAGGTAAATAATACAACTCTAGTCTTTGCTTTCATAGATCTCAACAGATAGTGAAGAAAATGTACAATTAACAAGATTTTACAACAAACTGCTCTGAAGACCCAGAAGATGCTGTGAGAACATTAAGTAGGAGACCTAATTTAGAGACATTTATTTAGCCTTGAAGAGTGAATAGGAATTAGCCAAATGAGGGCTGGAGTTATGGGGGGCAGGAAGGAAGAATTTTGGGCATAGATGGAACAGGATGTATGAAGATCCCAAGGATGGTATGATTTTGATTGTTTTGAAGAATGGGAGGTAGGCTTTGTGGGAGAAAGGGAGATCAAGCGAGGAGGTATATGAGATGAAGCTGAAGAAGTGGGGAGGGGCCTATCTGTGCCCTGAGAAATTTTAATCTCATCAGCGAAGTCACCAAAGGATTTAAGCAAAGGTAGCTGTGGTGTGGCAAATGGAATCCAGTAAAAGTCAGGTAGCCAGTTACAAGGCTTTATTTTAGGAGTTCAGATTAAAGATAATAGTACCTTGGATTGTGTGTGGTTTTGGCTAGAGATAATTGAGTGATTCAAGTTGTATTTTGAAGGGAAAACAAAAACTATTTGTTGGTTCTTTGGAGGGGGAGTGTCCAGAGGATACTAAGGTTTCTTGCTTGAGCAATGGTGGGTCATGATGTCCTTTACTGAAATGAAGGATACTGTGTATGGCTTAAGATCATGAACTCAAATCTGAGACATTCTCACTTTATAAAAACCATGAGACATCCAAATGGAGATTTTGGATGGCAATTGAATAGACAAGTGTGCGAGTGTACTGCTTAGAAGAGGGATCAACATTAAGGATGAAAATGTGAGTCAGGGGCATAGGGATGTATTTTGAAGCCGTTTGAGTGTTACGATTGGATATTATTTGGACCAGCAAAGCAAAGTAACATTTTTTTCTTAGACATAATTTTTACCACATGGTTTCAAAATACGTATGTCATTATTCTGCAATACTCAGATAAATATTTTCCCCTCTTGAGTATCATTCCTCTAACATGAGATTGTAAGTCAAAGAGAGAATAAAATGCATTAATTAAACTTACTTTACAATAAAAATTACTAGTCTTTATCTGTTCTTGAATAGATACTTATTTTTGCTCTTTAATTTTGGTCTTGAATTCTTTTGCCCTCATTCCCTGCCCCCAGATAATGTATTTCTATGGTAATTTGTTGGAATATTTGATTGGTTAAATGTTTTCTTATGTCAGGCAATTTTGTAAGTAACATGTTTTCCCCCCAAGGAATTGGATTAAGGGTGGAAATCTTTTCAAAATTAACCAGAGTTATAATTATCATCTAATTTGTTGCTTTAAAAAGCCCTATTTTATGTATCCATAATAGTTTGTTTCATCATAGTTTTAAGAATCTTTCTCATCATAGGGTCTAACTAAAATATGAAATATGTTAACTCAATAATTTAAAAGCAGATTTTATTCATCAAGTATCTATGGAATCTCTACTGAAGGTAGTACAATTAATTCACTTTTTTTTTTACTTTTTCATTTTTTTAGAGAAAAACTTCAAATGTCCCACAGTATTATAAGATCTACGGTATCCATTATTGCTTACAGATTGGCATAAATTTTGAGAAAAGCACAATAAGCAGGGAGGAAATTCTGCACAACTCTGAAGGACTTGCTAAGCAGAATAGGCAAGCTGTTGGAAAGTCTTGTAGTTTATTACAAGGACTGATCCAAAGTGAAAGTAGAATTACTCATGAAATTAATTAATGATTTAAAGAGTCAACTCATTTTGTGGCTTCAGTGATAAAATTTAGACCTTTACTGAATTGAATTATCTGTCTAAACATACTTCATAAGATACTGGTAAAATTACAGTATTTTTAAAAATCTGAAGTTTCTTAAGATATTACCATCTTCATCACTACAGATTTACTAAGCTAGGGTCTGAGTACTGATTAATCCATGGGTTAACCTTTTTGCATTTATATCCAGATACACAGGACTAAATAGTTCTTATGTGCTAGGAATTTGCAAATATGTATTATTTTTCTCTTTGTAAATTTATTTTTAAAAGAGTATCTTTTTTGGAATAGTCGTATTGTCATCTAACTTGTGTCATTACCTTGTATCATTAATCTTGTGCCGTGTTTTCTTTGTCCTGAAGGAATTGCCTACGACCCTCTGATGCTGAAACACCAGTGCGTTTGTGGCAATTCCACCACCCACCCTGAGCATGCTGGACGAATACAGAGCATCTGGTCACGACTGCAAGAAACTGGGCTGCTAAATAAATGTGAGGTAATCCTAAATTGGCTACATTCTTTTACTTACTTAAATAAATCCTGTAAAGAGGCCAGTATTCATTTGGGTGATAGTAGAAAAATGTTAATGCTGGAGCACAAACACCATGATGGATGAACCATCATTGATACTAGTAACATAGCACTTATGACCTGACTCTGGGCTATGCACATAGTAGAGACTCAGTCCATGTTGATGGACTGAGCAGCTGCATGATGTATGTGTACTATTATTGCAGCACTTTTTGGTATATACGGTAGCATGGCTGTTTCCAAATAGGTGTCATTTATTGAGTTAATTTTCTGAGAAACTCTACAAACTGTTAAGTGCTAAGTGGTTGTTATTTCTTATCATAAACTATATAGTGAACTCAGATATATGCCAAATTTGCCTATGGAAATGACTAGATTTAAAGATTAACTGTCCTCTTACCAAGAAGAGTCACTTCTTTTTATTGAAGTGGCTGATGTTCTTACATTTTTATGGTAGAGGTTTGAGTACTTTTATTTCATTGGTATTTATTAGATTCACTTCTGCTGATTCCTCGAGTCCCATTTTTCATTTAGAAAAATCTATTTCTTAGGCTTTCCAAAGTAAAAATAATATCAATTCAAAAAGGCTCCTATTGTCAGATTTGCAAATTATGTAACAGTCAGCAGCTGTTTGATTTAGTTGCTATAAATGTCCATTTTTGCCTAAAACCCAGTAACATTCTTTTTTTTTTTAAAGATTTTATTTATTTTTTAGAGAGCGAGCGAGAGAGAAACAGCATGAGAGGGGAGAGGGTCAGAGGGAGAAGCAGGCTCCCAAGGAGCAGGGAGCCCGATGTGGGACTCGATCCCAGGACCCTGGGATCATGACCTGAACCGAAGGCAGACGCTTAGCCATCTGAGCCACCCAGGCGCCCCCCAGTAACATTCTATATTTGAGTCTAAGACATTTTTAAAAGAAAAATATCCCCCATGTTTTTTTTTTTTCACATCACTTTAACATTTATTGATCAAAAGTATTTTTTTCCTGGGTTTATATTATGTTCCAAATGTGTTCTAGGGACTAGAATTACAGAATTTCACAAGACAAATAAAGTCCCTGTTATTACAGACTGACAGTTTAACATGTTGCTCTTTGGTTTTGTTGTCAGTCTTTGCAGATCAGTGAAGGAAATCCAATCTAGTTCTCACCAGTTTGGGAAAAAATTAAATGGATAATATTTTGACTATAGTTATTATCATGAGGGACAAATATTGAGACTACATTGAATTCACTGTACTTTGATAAAATAAAAAAGCAATCTTTTGCTACTGCTTTTAAGCTAATTAATTTTTGGCAACCCAAAATGTAGTCCAGAATATTCCTATTGAAAGCCAGTTTAGTTTAAAGCAAACCTGTAAAATAATTTCAATTGAGATAGGAATGTCAAAGCAGACAGAATATTTCTTAGAGTCATGCACACTTGCCTATATTTGGTGGCCTGAGTTACATCAGTCTGATCCTTCTTCTCTGCAAAGTAGTAAACATAGCTGACTTTTGAAGACAGAAAGTCATTTATTCAGTGCATTCATTTGTAAGGATATATTATTTTTTTTATTGATTTTCTCTTTTGAGATAAAGTATCTCATCTTACAGGGTTATTTTCTTTACATCAAAATATAGATCATGTTTATGGGTCGTTCTGCAGGTTGGGATTGTGAATAAATACACCAAAATAGTGTGTATATATTTAGTTTCACAAGTTTTATTATATGTTTATAATAGAATTATCAATTTTTTTTGTATTTAAAGCTATACTTTTGATTAAATGTATTCTTTACCTAGAAGCTCTAAAATGAAGGAATTTGAGCTAGATTTATTTCTCTGATTCTTTCTTGAGTAAAAGCCTATTATTCATCTTTTGCCAGTAGCATCCATATTATATGGCAGAAGACTTTTTCATACTTTATGGTAAATTATAAAGTTATTAAGGTTTTTATGTTTTTGATAATGCACTTTGGAGGCTAAACCACTCTGTTGTCTACACAATCCCATATGGAGTAAATGAAGTAAACCAGCAAGGGGACCTATCTGTGGTGAACTGGTCTTAATGGACATTGATTCATGTGAACATTCCTGTTTCACCTTTGCATCAACTATAGATGTTTTCCAGCGTGGCATTCTTTCTGTGCTTTTACCAGCTAAGGCATTGCTGTTTACATTTTTTTTTTCACTTTCAGGTCTTTATTATATCCTGGACCCTTACGCCAGCCATTGCAAATAAGCAGTGGCTGATCACAGTCTTCAAATGCATTGTTAGATTATGGTATTCCTTAAATCTATTACCTGAGGGAATACTGGCTATGAAAGGAGCAAAGTGCCCAGAAATAAATGGAATGTAATATAGCTCACACTAGTCTTAACATTTAAAAATCTGTTACCCATTTCTGATCAGTCTTCTTTTTCAGTTCCTCATACATCACATTATTTTAGTCCTGTATTATTTGAAAGCATAAAATTCAATTTATACAACAGCACTGACTGATGTGATATCAGACCAAGGGTGAAATGGTAGAAGTACAGAAGGGCTGATGAGAATGAGTGAGTCTAGCCCCAGCCCAGTCAGCTAAATAAGTGTCTCTCTGGAAACAATCACACAATTACAAATAATGCACTTGAAAGCCTAGATCAGCAGATTTGCTCTTAATGAAGGCCAAGCACAAAAGTATGATCCACAACTTCACAGTAATATAAACAGAACACTCTTTTTTGCTAACATAGTTTGAAAACAGTTCACCAGTTTGATTTCTTAAGTGATGAAATTGTTGCCCATAATATATTTATTTGCTCCTATATTATCAGGTATCTATGACTTAATTCTGACCTAATCTCAAAATGGAATTTCTAAACCCATTAAAAAACAATTTAAGATACCTAGGAATTTGATGTTTCTTTGTGTGTAAATGATTTTAGGAATATTCAAGATGGAATTTTAAAAGTGACCCATAATCAAACAAACGTTACCCTTTTCCAGAGACTTTCAGGTTCTATATAAAATAAAACAAAGTAACAAAAGGGGTAAAACAGAACCACAGAAACATGACTTCTCTTTTTTTCCCTGATTGTTTCTACTGGACAAGTTGGGGAGAAAATAAAAAGGGAACATACAGAGATTATTTCAAACCAGTTTAGCCTATTCAGAAATAGTAGAATCTACTTCCTTAGCCAGTACTCTCCCTAGTAAATGCAACTAAAACAAGTGATATATGTTTGTTGTGGATTTTCTTTTAAAGTTTTTGATTTGACAAGTTAAATCTAATGTACACATTTATTAATATATTACTAGCCATCTTTCAAGGATGCTAACCTTTTTGTCTCAAGCCAAATTATTTTGAAAGTTTCAAGTGATGCAGAAGAGCAAAACCACAGAAACATAAATCAAGCCTTTTAGCAATTCACCAAAAACTCAATACAATCAGTTGTTGAAAAATCAGGAGAGAAGTATACTATAAGTGGCAAGTGGCTAGGTACATGGCAGGTGCATTAACCAGTTAAAGAGGCAAAAAGTTTCCTATACAGGCTAATAGATTTTCCGGTTAGTGTTTATGAACCTTCTATAGAGATCAAGGCCAATGACAGTACCTTCCAACTGGACTTGACTTATTCACTCCAAGAGAAAAAATTAGATTTCAGCTTGGGTATGAATGAATATTTACCAGGATGTCTGAAGGACTTAAGGAGAATGAGGCCTTTCTTTCTAAATTTGTGTAGGTAGGACTATCAGGAAGTTAAAGTCCAGCTCTGTTTGTTCCTGGATTATGTCTAGAGCATACATTCCTGAGAGGGTAAAATCTATGTGTCTAAGACTCCAGGGATGTGAGTACCAGCCCTTTTGTCTAGGTTATCACTCTTTCCTAAGCAGTATAGACAAATTCCTGACCTGGTTGTGAACAGTAAGAACTCAGCTAAGTTGTCTCACAGGAGAGAGGATTTATTAGATTTTGTAGAAAAGGATATAATCTAATAAGAATATGACACCTAGAAGCTGGGTCAGTTTGTTTTTCCCCAACATCCAGAGAGTGATTTGCTGTCTTTGAACACTTTTCCTGCCAGGTTTGTGTAGCCACCCATAGTTAGGGTTTAGCCTTTGCTTTCAATGAAGGAATCAACCGAGTTCTGGGGACATATAGCTGGCCAGCAAGCAGAAACCTGAGACTGGGTAAGTGGTATTCATTTATTGATTATAGTGGTGCTCAAATGTTAGCATATATCAGAATCATTGGGAATGCTAAGACACATATTGCTGGGCTCCAGACTCAGAGTTTCAGATTCAACAGTAATGGAGTCCTGTTGGAGTGAGGTTTATGAATTTGTGTTGCTAACATGTGTCTGAGTAATCCTGAGACTGCTGATATGGCCATCACACTTTAAGAACAGGGATACATCCATTCAACAAACAGTATATCAAAATTTTTATTTTCCCAGGCTCCTGTGTTAGGAGGTGGAAATATAATACCCACAAGATGCATACCCTGCCTACAAGGAGGTTACTGTATGGTGGGATCAGCAAACATTAATCAAATGATCACATAAATAAATAAATAATTACAAAATCCCAAGAGGTTTTGAGTCACTAGTTTATGTTACAGTTATTTTAAAGACTCTTACTGATTGAGCTTGGGGAAGAAATAAAATGAGAAAGACTGGCCTGCTGCCTCCATAGTCTTGACAGCATCAGAAGGGCCATCTAAACAAGAGATAGAAGTGGAAATATTACATCTTAGAGTTCAGGGAGAAAATATCCCAGACCTGATGTTGAAGACCTTGCTCTCTTTCTGTTTTTATTCACATTCATTTTAGGATTACTATTCCACTGGGTAAACAGTAAGGAGTCTCAATTTTACTGGTGTTCAGAGAAAAGTCAGCTTCCCTCAACCAACAGAATAGTCAATTTTGCAATTAAACAATGATATGATAGAAAAGATGGCAATTTGAAAACATTTAAAGTCCTCCTTTGTTTCAAAATA